AAGACGAAGCAAATTTAAATTTAAAAAAAAAAAAAAATAAACAAAATAAAAAGCAAATAAATCCAAATGATCCCACTGTTATCATATATATTTTTTCAAAATAAAATAATAATCAAAGAAAACATAACGTTTGACGTTAGTTTTAACCATACAACGTTATTGTAATCGATATCATAGTTGAACCTGAATAAATACCATTGTAATATTTTAAGAACAATTTGAAATAAGTGAAAAAACACATGCAGGTAATAAAATCAAAGTATTTGTAAATTAAGTGAAAGCAGTATATACGTACGTTGAAAACACATAATTAAGTAAAACATTATTTGTAAATAGAATACGATTAATAATTATGATTATTCGATAATAATTATAACATGGAATGTTCTTAAAATGATAAGAATGGTTTTAACAAATTATTCGTGTAGTACACGAGTATTATTATGCGTGTGCACAAATTTAATTGTACATTTTAAGCGGACTCAAAGGTACAATTATATTTCTGTATACGTATAAGAATAAACTAATAATAATAATAATAATAATTATTATTATTATTATTATTATTACACAAAAGATAATTGATTATAAAGAAAATAGTTAGAGATATTTCTCTCTCTCTCTCTCTCTCTCTCTCTCTCGTATTTTCATTTAATTTCATTCCTGTTGCTTATAATACATTTATTTTTCAACTAAATTAACTTTGATTAAAACAAACTCATTTAAAATACGCAACAATTAACAATATTCGTTGATTTTCTACAACAAATTGAAAAATCCTATTCAACATTCTGATTTATACCTTTGTCACGAGCAAAATATCGATTATTTCACTTCCTAAATAAACTACTTTTCTTGAATACACAATTACTAATTAAAAGATTATTGAATACATGAAAACATGATGAAAATAAAAAATAAAATAAAATATAATTGAGAAGAGTATAGAGAAAGATAACGATCAGTGTTGAAAACACGTAAACGTTTATTCACGTGACGATAAAATAACTTTATAACATTATCATAGATAAACATAGAACTTTCTAACGTAGAACAATCGATGAAGGTGTTTAATATTGCAACGTTAATATATATATATATGTATATAAATATATACTTGACAATATAATTATTAAACAAAATAATACAACTATAAACAATTAGATCTACTTGCATCTATTCGATAATCAACAAAAAAAAAAAAAAATAAAAATAAAATAAAATAAAAATAAATTTAAATAAAACTCGGAATCTCACCTCCGAGTAAAAAGATGAACGAAGTTTGGGATTCATGTTGTCTCGGGGTGGGTGAATTATTTGATTCGTTTTGTTTTTCTCTTTCTCTTGTTTTAGTTTTTTTTATTTTTTTAATTTTTCTTTTATTACTTTCTTTTATCTACCGTATGTTTATACAACGTCACTCGGGTTAAAAACTCACTTTTAAACCTTGTGTAAGAAATATATTTCACTGTAAAGAACCGAAATAGCGTTCAAGGTCAATGTCAATTAGATCGAACGAGATTAAATTCTGATCGAAACAGGGGAATGATTATGTTGAGAGGGTTGTTTCTTAACATGGGAATCAATTACGATTTATGATTTTTGTTTTCTTTTCTTTTCTTTTCTTTTCTTTAGTTTCTTTTCTTTTTCTTCTTTTTTTGTTTCTTGTGAATAATAATAATAATAATAAAAAAAAGAAACTAGTAGAATTGTTGTTAAATGGTAATAAGCTTTTTGTTTGTTAAAATGATTTCACGCCACAGAAGTTACCTCGTTCGCGGCTTGAATCCAACTGAACGGTTCGTACGAAGGAGCGCAAGCATATAATGCGGGGCGTATCACGAAACGTACAGACCCTCCCTCTAGTTAGTTCTTACCCCCAAATCATCTTTATCCATCCTGAGAACATCTACTACATCTACTTTTTACATTACCTTTCGAGATACTTTCGATTATTCTTCATCAATATCACGAAATTATTTTATTTTATTTTGTTATAATTATCTTTGAAATATTTTATTTTATTTCTGTAGTAATTTTATAATAGAAAAATACAAATTTCAAGAATTTTCTTATTATCTTACGTAAACTTGTTCTTTTAGTTTTTTTTTTTTTTTTTNTTTTTTTTTTTTTTTTATATTTTATATTATTTATATATTATTTTATTTTACTTAATTTTAATTCATTTTATTTTATTTTATTTTACCCTATTTAGACTGGTTCTTTTATCTTATTATATTTTATATCTAACAATATCTTCTATAAGATATTATTTAATTTTTTTTTTTTTTAACAAATAGCATGTTTCATAGATTTTATTTTATCTGCATACACGAGCCTATTCTTATCATATTTTATACATATATATAAATATTTTCGATATAATACTGTCGTACTTTTTATTTATTTATTTTTTGTTCTAATATAAAAAAAAATTTTAGGAACATTTATTTTATTAAACAACTATAAATGATTATAGAATTTTGTATTTCTGAAAATACTTTGCATATATATATATATATATATATATATATATATATATATTCAAAAAGATGATATTTTATATTTTTGAATGGAAAAATAATTTTTAAACATTTTCTTTTACCTATCCATTCTCATACTTACCATATTTTAGAATCTTTGACAATTCATGTTTCGAATTAAAAATGTTTTGAAATAATCGTAAACAATTATTGATTATTAGTTGATAAATTAAACTAATCAACTATTTCTCGACTTATGAAACAATGTCAACCTGTACCTTTATGTTGTCCTAATCTTCTCTAACAGGATGAAACTAAACGTGTTGTATCTTTCTAATCGAAATTTCGAAAACTAATTTTAATTCTTTACATAAACTACATATCATTTTGTTTTCTCTTACATTGCACATTGTAATCTTTACTATAATAAAAGATACTAACTCTAATTTCTCATTTATAATAAAATACAAAAAAAAAGAACAATAAAAAGTAAACTATTTGATAAATTGAAATACAAAAAAAAAAGTTTTAAATAAAATACGAATTTATCTGTTGCTAATATGTAAAATAATTTTTAAATTCGTAATAAGCTTATAATTAAATTCATTAAAAATAATGAAATTATTTCAATTAACAGATTCTATTTTAGTTAAATTTTGTTGTTGTTTATCGAAAAATATTTCGTACACAGACATTTGTTGGGATGGTTCATAGTTCAAACTCTTATCGTTTGAAAGGGTAGGTAAATGTATAAATATAAAGATTAAAAAAAAAAAAAGAAAAATAAACTGGTGATCAATCTTGCAGTAATATCCAAACGATTTTCTCATATATTATAATACTAAATTAAGAATCCTTTTAGCATTCTATTTATAAACAAAACAAAAAATTGATTTTTATTAAATGACAAGAAGAATAAACCTCGTCGTGCTGCGGGGTCACATCTCTCGACGAAATTCCGATTTTGCGCAGATTCGTCTTCTTCTATCTTCTTAACCCTTTTTTTATTTTTATTTACTTCTTCTGCTTCTTCTTATTCTTCTTCTTCCTTTTAAATCGTACTTTTATATTCGGGGGGTGGGGGTAAGGAGAAAAACAAATTTCTTTTCAAAGACGAATTCGTTGTTAACGGAAATCGATGAAATTCTTTTCTTTTTCTTTTTTCTTATCGTTTAATTATTTTCACATATCATTTTTAAAATTAATAAATGGTTCGAAAAATGTCAACAAAACGAATTATTATTTTTGTTGTAAGAAAAAAAAATATTTGTATGGTTTCGTTTTATGCACGCGACTGAACTTTTACAATGTTTTTTTTTCTTCTGTTGTTTTTTGTTAATACGATATTCAATCATTTTAATAATTTGTAATAGCTTTGTATCTTCACAATCAATGTAAACAATTTATATCATTTTTATTATGATTTTATATTTGCATGGGGAAAAATTGATAAATCGTACGATTGAAAATTATTTATAAAAGAATTTTGAGGTTCACTCTATTAATGCTGTTGTTTAAATCGAATAATAATGAAAACAAAAACTTAATTTATGTATTTCATTGACACGTGTTTGTACTTGATTAAATTAATATCGAATTATCATCTCATAATCGATAATCAATACGTAAAATAAAATATTTGATTTAAACTGATTACACGTTTGATAGTATTTAATATTGAATATTCACGTGCATGTATGCATATGCGTTTATTATATATATATATATGGGTGTGTGTGTGTGCATTTTCATAATATATTCTATTAATTAATGTTTTAATCAAGATAAACTATAATTATATATAATAACAATTTTATATACTTGAATTTAATATGAAAGGAGATTTTGTGTATTAAATTTAACTTGTTAAATGAATTTTCATTTAATATTACGAATATCATCGTTGTTTAATATTTGTCGATGTATTTATTTACGATTGTAATTGTATAGAAGTTGAATTAAAAAAAAAAAAAAAAAAAAAAGATAAAAATCTCCTTTCGGAAAATAAATTTTTACGATGAGTAAAACAGCGGATGATATTTTTTCATTAAAACACAGATACTTGTTGGATTGATTCATTTGAGGATTTTCTTTTTTGTGAAAAAAAATTTTTATTAATCAATGCATCGAATCTATAGTAATCACGATCCTTATCAAAACCTTGTTTCATTCAAAATATCAAACGAATATTATTTCATCTGTATACTAACACGAACGAATACAAAAATATCAGATAATCCTGACACAACATTGAATATATTTTTTAAGTTATTTTATTTTCTTACAAAACTCCAGAGAGAGAGAGAGAAAAATAAAAAAATAATAACGTTGAAAATAAACGCACTGACTTTTCGTGATTGCATTGCACATGATTACAACTGAAAATTTGTGCAAATATAAAATGCAAAATGAAAAATACAAAGAATGGGAATACGACGATAAATGTTCATTATTTTCAACATTCATAATACATACATGCACTAGTTCAATAAGTTTTCTATCTATTTTTTTTTCCTATCATAATAATAAAATGCAAATTGAAAAATATCAAAGGACGCGTGTGTAAATGATATCAAAAGCTTGCTAAAAAATAAAGAGAGAAAGAGAGAAAGGTAAAAAAAATAAAATAAGCATTCTACTTATTTATCTTTATCACGATATTAACATTTGATTATTATATTTAAATATTTTAAATTTATTTTTTATAATTTTAAATTATAAAATATGATTAAACTATTACATAATAAAATAAAATTCTATTTGTATTATTTTATCTTTCGTATTAAATTCAGAATGGATAGTAGGACAAGCAACAGCATTAATAAAACACGAGATGATCGTAAACTTAGCCTTGAACTGAGGTCAACGTGCTACTTTATCATTCAAGCGTACAACTCAGTAATGTAAACAACTCTCCTACATCTGATTCTCTTTTTATTTTCTTAGGATAAAAAAATAAATACTTTTTATCATCTTAAATAATAATCGTAAGAACGTGAAACGAAATGATTTGTTTTAAATAAAATATCAGTACAAATGTTGTCGTTTAATGATTTCATTCATTCTATGGATTAAAAGTAAAAGATATTTTTGTTTCTTTTTTTAGATTAATTTAATGTTACATTTATTTTTATAAAACTATCACATTATGATGATTAAATTTATCTAAAACTGAGATAATGTATGCAGGAAATGTTTTCATTTTGATTTTATTTAACAATCTTTGTTTTTATTAAAGTATGTTGACTTATTATTAATTTCTAATTTTATTTTTTATATAATTTATTTTATATACAATGTACGCGTATTCATATTCATCTATTATCTAACTTAAATTTAAATATATATAATGTTTTAATATAAGTTAAAATGTAGATTGATACGTATAAAATAATTATTAGTTAACTAGCTTCTTTAATATTATATCTTATAATTAATTATAGATAATATCCTCATGTTTTTTCAAAATATTTTTTAAATTACATATTAATGCACTTTCTAAAATTTAATTTCATAATTTATTTATAACTAATACTATTTGTTTTAATATTAAAATTCTATACTAAAGTTGAGATTCAATTTTTAAATATTGAAATTTCATTTTAGTTGGAACTAAGTGCTATTGCAGATTTTGTACAATTTTTATAAATACTTCCATACTTATATCGATACTCCTTTCAGCATTTATGAGATTAAGAGTTTATTAATATTGCAAATATTATTTGCATATCGAACTACCATTATCTGTGAAAGACTAATAGAAAAATTCCTAACATACTAACTGTACCTTAGTGTGCGTTCTTGTTTCCTGCCATTGAGGATTCTGCTTTCTTCTGCAGCTTGCTATTAAAGATTCTCCTTTCTTCTGCAGCTTGCCATTAAGAATTCTTCTTTCTTCTGTAGCTTATGAAAAAAGTCACTGCATCTTCATTTTTTCATTCACTGATAATTTGATCCTGCGGTATATAAATAGTTGATTACAATAATTCTAATAATGAAATTAATACAATGACAAATATAAACCTTTCTAACTTACTGGTTTCTATTTCATATCAGAAATTCTTCTTCGGTCTAGCAGAATATTTTTCTTCACAGTGTTGTCGACAAGATGTGTATGTTCGATGATGTTCACAGACTCATGTAAACTACACCGATAACTTGTATGTTGGTAAGTAAAACTGCATCCAATGCAAATATGCACTTCTTGGAGAGTTTTCTTTAATTTTGTGGAATAGACTATCACTGGTTGTATATATCTTCTTTCTTGTAGAATTTTCCTATAACAGAAACCAACAAAGTTGAAATATCTAAATAGGTTATGCATGCATATTAATTAAAAAATACTTTAAAAGGCTCAATTAGTATGAAATAATGTATTTATATACTTACACTAATGCTTCTGAGAAGATTTTTATCATTGTTTGATTTAAAGTTCATTATTCCTAACCTAGGATTATTCCATAAATATGCAAATTATATTAAATAATATAATTCACCTTTTTTTTCTGGAGTTTCTTTTTATAATTACTGGTTTTAAACATATTACATTTATAATATATTATTCTTTTTTCGATTAATTTAATAAAATAAAACATTATTATTCTTTCTTTAAATCCCAACACTGAACAAGCCTAACCCTAGAATAGAACGATGTCTAGTGAACTTTGAGGTTGGACCACTAGATGGCGCCACTTACTTCGTATATGCATTGCCATCTGTATGCAGCTGATACGATACATCGGTGCTGTCAAAAAGTGGAAAATGTTTCGTTGTTTTTTAAGTTCTTCAATAAATTATTTATTTAATTACAAAGGTATGTTTATTTAAATTAATTTTATACATATATGTTGGTAATAATAAAACTTACAATTAAGATTTACGTTATAAATAAATCTAATATTACACCTAACCTAAATAGTGTAAATGTTGGTTTTACTGTTTTATCGTTTGTTGCTATTATAAAAGCGATTTATATTATTTAAATTCAATTAGTTTAAACAAATATTATTACTGCAATATATAACGATATTAATTTTATTAAATATAATGATTAATTTTATTTGACATGTGTATCATACACTATTGAGGTTCTCACTTTACATGTATTATTATTTGATAGGTTCTTATTAATTATTTTTATTATATTTGTTTAATCATATACTTTTTGTTATTATTAATTATAATGATTTTATAATTGTATGTTTCTTTCTACAGATTGTGAACATGACCATAACATCAAAAGCAAGCGTTCAAGTTTGTCGAAGAAGCATATGACATGATGTTGATAACAAATAAAAGTAATATTTATTATTTATATAATTATAAATCTAGCATTAGTAAGATTGCAACAATATTTTAAATATATCATAAAATGCATAAATACTTCTAGGTACTCGCATTGCTTCGATGACAAAACTAGTGTTTGTTTAATCACTAAAGTTAAGCAACAATGCATCATAATTCAAACATCATAAATACTTATGATTAATCTTTATTTGTTGTAGGGAAGACATTTAAATAAATGAAGGTAAATCCATGTATGGAGTTATAAAGTTATGAAGTATGTAGTGTGCAGTTTGCAGTACGCAGTACGAAGAGTTGAAATTTCCATCGAAATGCAGGAAGAGCAGAAGAAAATAAGTATGCCATATTTTCATATTTAAGTAGTTGTTATTAGTATAAATATTTTACAATGTTCTTATTTACATTGTGTTTTTAGAAAATTGGAAGGAGAATTAATGGCTCAAGATAGAAGAAATGGTATTACAAAGTAAGGTACAACATTCTTTAAATAGTTTGATTAATAACAACAAATAATTGTCTTATACAAATGAAAGTACAACGGTGCTGATTGAATTCTACTTAAAATATCATATAATGTAACAAAATTATTTATAGTAATCACAGAGATGCATTAAAATGCATTTCTATAATATTCTATCTTTCTTATTTTCTGTGTAATATTTTCTGTTTTTTCTTGTAAAAAAGAAATCCATATGCATCATGATAAATACAAGGATTAGCTTTTTTTATGAGAGACAAGTACTAATATCAGTATGCACTATCGTTGGCACCGTTATAATTCATACATAATCTGACGTCCAGCATCCAATATGAAATACAGCATACTTCCAATTATTTTACTAATTTTTAAAAAAGATGAGTTACATCTAGCATATTTAAATTTTGTTGTTTTTTTTTAAGTTCAAATTCTACATGCTCATATTTACACATCTGTTGGTAATTATGACAGTATACTAAATTAAAAAGTATAATAAATCAAATGTATCATTTAATTTACTTATATTATAAAATAAATCATAACATTACTAATATCTATATAACAAAATAAATAACAGTATTAATTATTTTATATTACAAAATCAATTTTATCAAATTTTTTGATTTATATTCAATCCACTGTCATTATTACCAACACATATACAGATATAAATACTGTAACAATTATACAATCTTAATTTATTTCAAACAATACATCAAGGATAATATTCATTAACTAAAAATGAACTTTAACATCTATAATAGAATTTTCAAATTATAAATGATTCTGTCGTTTCTAACTTGTGTTTTACCATCAAGCAAGGAATTCCTCAACACTATATCTGCCATTAACACACACCATAGAATAGAACAGAACAGAGAACAGAACATAGTCTATAGCATTCACGATCAATCCTATTCTTGATCTGTCAATTTTCGTTAAGGCTTGTCAGTCTTTGAACGGCTTCAATTAAATGAACCGATGGGAACGAGTTGACCGTCACCGTCGAAATTTCAAAATGAATATGTTAAACGAGTCAAGCTCGTTTATAATCGATAGAAACGTTTAACTCTGCATATATATATTATGTATATGTATGTACGTGTAAATAGAACGTTTGTAAGACGGAAGTAGATTGAACTTATCTAAATTGAGTCCTCATAGTGCTAACGCGGTTAGATTAGTCTCTCTTGCATATAGATCTGTCCGTTTGTCTATTTCTGTCTGTTTCATTCGTCCATCTATCTGTCCATCTGTCTATCCTCTCTTTCCTTCTCTCTCTCTCTCTCTCTCTCTCTCTCTCTCTCTATTCACTACTGTTACAGTACGAACTAACGTGTCACTGCATGCACCGTGAAATTAAATGATCTCGATTAACAGAATCGGTTGGAATATCCGCTCATCGTCGATGTTGAACAAAAGTGGATTTTCACGAAAATCTCTTGGGAAAAATATTCCTCCTCTCTCTCCTCTTTCCCCTCTTTCTATCTCTTTTACTTTCTCTCTTTTTTTTGTTTCAATCTATGCAATTATCTAACGTTCTGATACTTTGGTATAAATGAACATTATTACTGATCACTAAGATTACATTAGAGGATAAGTATGCGAATATATATGTTAATGATGTATATTATTAAATAAGAAAGATAATAATGATAATAAAAATAAATGAGAAATTAATAAGAATAATTTTTAATACTTTTTATTAAATTATTTTCAATATTACCAATGTATATATTTTTAAGTTAAATAAAAGTAATGTAAGTGAATAAGAAGCAAATATAAATATTAAGGCTTCTTATTTAGTATTGTTAAGTATTAAAATTCATATTTTTAGATAGAAGTAATTTAAATAAGAAGAAATTATTATTAATAAGATATTTGATTATTTTTTGTAGATATTAGAAATCATGCGAATTAAATAAACGTCTAAAAGACAATTTTATGAAAAATCACAGATTAAAATATTTTAAAAATGTAGATATTTGTATTTTAAAAAAGAACACTCGGTATATTGAATCGTGGAAAAGACTGTGCTGAAAATGTTACGGAACTTCTAAATCATTACATTTACTACCGTCTACTGCTTTTCTTTATATATATATTACAAATATATAGTATATGTAGTATATATATATATATACAGTATAAGATTTAAAGTTACTTCCTTCGTGGTCTATTTTATTTTCGATACCAATAAATTCTCTAACAGTATACGCACATGAAGTTCAACTTAAACCAACTCACGATGCTCACGAATCCTAGACATATGTAATATTGTTAAATCGATGATTTATCGTTTGATTTCTTGAAATTATAAGCAACTTCAAAATGATTTATAAAATATTGAATTTTTTATTTTAAATCATTTCGATTTATAATATTTTAGTAAATACAAAAATGAAAAATTCAAAGTCATCACTGTTGAGAAACGTTCAAAGAAATGTAATTTCATTTAAAATAATTCAAAATAATAATAGAACATGTTAGAATGTTCGATACATTTTTAATAATTGTTAATTAATCGAAAAAAAATGTATATTGTAGTTTAAAAGCATGGATGTATCATTAGATGTAACATTAAATAAAAGAACTTTCACTGAGAACAACGTACTAGTCTGAAGGTGAATTTCGAAGAGGACGATAATCCGATCATATAATTCGAGCTTTTAAACATCAATACACATTTCCATCGATTAATTAACAATTATTTTAATATTCTAATACACACTCTTCTTATATTACAGCATAATTTAACACTCAAAGTCATCACTGCGCAGGTGTGATAAAAAAACTACTTTAGAATGCAAAAATTACTAAAATTTTAACGTTATAATGTTAAATACTCTTTATTAGAATTATTATTACCGTTGCACACATGTGCAATGTTTGGAATGTCATATATGCAACTTTCAATAGAAGAATTTTAATAGAGGACAACGTACCAGTCTGAAGGTGAATTTCGAAGAGGACGGTACTTCGATCATAGAATTAGAGCTTTTAAACATCAATGCACATTCCTATTGATTAATTAACAATTATTTTAATATTCTAATACATTTCTTTTATAATACAGGACAATTATTACTATTGAATAAGTAAATGAAATTTTCATATAACAATATTGCAAATTTATCACTTGCATGATTTCTGCAAATCTATCAAATGATATCAAATGATGATCTTTAAAAAAGAAATTACTCACCCATCTTTTATTATCTTTCTTAGTGTCAGTTATTAAAAGTTTCATCTTCAATTCAGCATTTATAAAATTGTTCTCGCTAATTTAACAAAAAAAAATATAATTAATAATATAAATTGAAATGTATTCAATTAATTATTAAATATGAATTGACGATGTAATATTAGATCTACGTATTCCTTAATATACCAAATGATATAAATTTTGAATGACAATTATAAAGACAATTATAGAAAAAATCTTGTAATATTTTTTATATGATTTAAAATAGGGATAAAAATGTTCTCGTTGGGATAAAAAAGAACCCATCAATCTTCATCCGTTCGGGAGTAATTTAATTAGTTTACGTTTTCTGCGGTATAAATATTCTCGTATGTGTAGGAACGGTGGGTGGTATATATCTTAGAGGTTCATTGCTTCGGCCATCCTCTAAAATAAATGCATATTCATGACACGCATAAACAAGGGAAGACCAACGGTTGTTATATACACTCTCTCAACCTACGTATTTGTATATGTAAGTTACAAATACATCTACATACACACATTATAGTATATATTTATGTACATATACGCATAATCACATAAATAGACGTAAATACATGTACATAGATACTCGGAACTTTTAAGAGATTCATTTTGTAGTTAAGTACCGTACAACGTGGCACGTAAATGATTAAGTCGATTATACGAGGAATGCCTGGAATTTTGTAGCAAGGTTTAATTAGATCATCAATGAGTACGATCGTCGATTGGAAAACGATTGCTTCCTGTCGAGGGTATGTACCTTCATCCAACGTATGATAAACTGTATTCGAGTTATATTCTCAAATTAATTTCTTTTTCCTTTTTTTTTTTTTTAATTATCTCATTCGACAATTTAATAAATTGTACTAGAAATATTCTTTCACTAATTTGCGCTAATTTCAGGAAACATAATGTGTGTGTGTGTGTGTGTATTTGTAAAGAGATGAAAGATGAGAGATTAATATGGGATATAATTTTTAGTTAAAGTAATAAAAAGACAATGTCGATACTATGTCATTCAAATTTTGCATAAAAATTACGAGAGATTATTTTCGATTTTTTATTTTTTATATATTACAAGAATTAAGAATGAATAATATGTGAGGAATTACAAAATGGAATATTTGATCACGGTTGAATAAATAAATTAGATAAAGTATAGTATAATACATAGTTGTATTAATAAAATCGTCGTGATTGTTGAAAGTTATCGGTGTGCATATCTTTTATAGTAAAACCAAGTTTACTTTATGGGAGTGGTAGTGATGGTACTGGTGCTGGTTTAAACTAATTAGGTATACAGAAATGGCATCTCGCTTATTGAAATACTGTGAATCAGGCTTTGTGTGACCTCACGTTATTACCGTGACAGAATTAGTTAACAATTCTCTCTCTTTCTCTCTCTTTCGTTCTCTGTGCTAATTACTTCATAATTTGTAGTTATAATAAGATTAATTTAGATACGTGATGAAATACGATAGCCGAACCGTTGTAAATTCATTAAATACATGAAATTCTTTTCATATTTTTACATAGAGATTAATACACGTGCAAAAGTATTAGTATAACTATATATATATATATAGGTTCGAACCCCGATAGGTTCGCGAGCTGACCCGTTACGACTAATTTCGCATGTCGTCCAGTGAAATGTAGAAGCCAGTTTTATTGGCTTTAGACAGGATCGTACCCGATATCCCTGGGTCATTTTTCACCAAAAAGCTGCACAAAATTTCCACTACCTTGCTGCAAGTCTAGCGAAACGAGCAATGAGCAGTTACGAACGCTTACAATGCGACAATTTTCTCTCTATGTATGTACATTGTACATATGCACATATATACATACATATAAACGTATCTGGAGAGTGCATTTCAAAGTTGCATGGTCAGTAAATTTGTAACAATATTATAAACATGTCGAGAAAATGTTCAAGACGATACAAAATAATTATAATAATAATTAATACGTATTCAATTTTTGATCAAAAAAGTTTCGATTAAATAATATACTTGTGGGTGTATTTAGAAGTCTTGATAGGGTAGTTGAGGGATAATTATTTTAATATTTATGTAAAATAAAAAATTATATATTACAAATTGTTTTAAATTCTATTTTACGTTACAAGAACAGTTAGTTTATTTTATATGTACTGAAATTGAAAATAGTGTGACACATTACATTTTTACGTTGCGTGTAGATAATATGAGAAATAATCTACGATCGGAAGAAAAGAAAAAAAGAGGGTCAGTTCTCGTTTTAACGTAAACAGTTTCTCGCCTTTGTTAT